CCCCCCCCCCCCCCCAGTATACGATAGACCCCCAACTCTGTTTGCCTTTAGAAAAGCTGCTAAGACCTGGCTTTTTTCCCATGCATTTAGATCCAGCTGAGCACAGTTCCTTTTGGTCACCATTTTATATTTTATATATTGGGTTGTTTTTTTTAATGTTCTATGGTTATTTTTTTCCTGTTCATTATCTGTTTTTCCTTTATGCTGACCAGAGTCAGTGTTTGACTTGGGCAGTCCCATAAATCTGTTATATTATCTTTTAATAAATAAGTTAAAATTGAATTAATTAGATCCCATTAATATGATTAATATATGTAATAATTTTCCTATCCTCTTATGCTAGAAATGATAATTTGGTAGCATTTTGGAGGGAGATTCTGGGAGCCACATCCAAGTTCATCAGGAGCTGCATACAATCCTGGGTGTTGAGGCTGTGCATTTTTGCTTTACTCATATTGTAACCAGTGGGGCAAATAAAGTATCACAGATTGAAGCCCATCCAATTCCAGTGGAATTAATCCAGGACTAATTTAGTCTGGCCCAGTTTCTTCAGAAAATTAAGTACTACCTTTTCTCTTCATTTTGCAGATACACATTTGGTGCTGCTCTGTTTGTGGGATGGGTTGCTGGAGGCCTGGCCTTCGTGGGAGGCATCATGATGTGCATTGCTTGCAGAGGCCTGGTACCTGAAGAGACCCAGTGAGTGCCTATTCTTACAAGTGAACAATATTTTATGAGGAAAGATCATGGAAGACCTTTTCTTCAGATGCCGTTCAATTATTCTACCTTTTTAAAACAATTATGAGCTACCTCTCTAGAAAGAGGAGGAAAAGTAAATCTCAGCAGTAACAGTGACCAGACAACATTTAAAGTCAGAAGCAGGACAGTACTGAAATGACAGTTCTGGAAAAAATATGGCATATAAGTTTGTTTCTTCATTAGCTGTTTGTATAATATTACCCACTTCCTTCTAGCTGATTTCTTGAGTAAATATTCAGTAAAGACCAAATTGTAAAACTACTATTTTTTTTTTACATTAAAAGGTACACCATTATATAGCATAGTAGTAGTTATGTATCATAATAGTACTAATAGAAACACTTGTAATTCAAACTCCGAGAAAGCCACTCTTAGTGTGGGAACTAGAATAGATTATTGATATGTATTCAAATGTAATTCAGGCAGATGACCTACTGTATTCCTGAATTATCATGTGGGCAATGTGCTTGTTTGTAGAAATGCAGTTTCGGGCATGCAGATTCCTTCCCCTAATAATATCATAGTAAGACCAGAATTTTAGTGATGAAGCTGGACTTTATGTGACTACCCATCCATTCCCTGTGATACCTGCAAAGCTCCAAAGAGACATTCTCTACCCTTTTTCCCAGCTGATTATTTATCATCTTGGTGGCGTGGAACATTTTGTTATTTCCACTGGCTTCTTTCATTTTCCTGTAATGCTTGGACCATTATTATGTTAGGCAAATGGGGCAATGTGAGAAATAAAAGTAATAGGTAAATTCCTGGCCCTACCATTGTTGCCCAAGCCTGTGATCAAGGGTGGGACAAACTGTGACATTATTGTATTTGGAGTCTGGAAATGATTGGCTAGTTCTAAATGGGTACACAATGCATAAATAGTATCAATTCATTGTGGTTGAGAGAGTGTAATAGTACAGTATGTGGGAAAGACGTTGAGAGACTGAGCAAAGAGACGCTGCCAAAGGAATGGTCAGATAAGAGACAGCATAGCCTGCAACTGGATACTGGGTGGGGCAAGAAGCTCAGAAGAGACTCTCCCTAGTTTGTTGGGCTGTAAAGGAGACAGAAGGAGAAATGTACTTTCAGACCTGCAAGATTCTGTCAAGGTAGCTTTACAATAAAGTAGAATTAGCTCATCTGGTCATGATTCCTATCTGGTTTGCCCCGTGAGGCCAACAGAGAGCCATTAATGTTATATTACTTACGTAGACAGTAGATATTTATAAAGTGTAAAGAACTATATTGCGTTCATTCTACGAAAAGAACAGTGCAGATAACTCCAGCATAGCCTGTTACTTCCCACTTCCACTAAATGACATCTTGATTTACTTCTCTTTCAGTTACAAGGCAGTCTCCTACAAGTCTGCTGGATATAAATCTGGAACTGCTTATGAAACCAAGAAGATTCCAGTAATGGATAATAATACTGTCAAAAGTGATGAAGGAAGACGTTCCTACCCTTCAAAATATGACTATGTATAGAAACTGTCCAGATATGATATAGTTCCACACTCTACTTACTAAAACTTTAGCTTTAGTCCAAACCAAGAGCAAAGTGCTAATGGCACTTCTCATCTATCTTTGAATTATTCTTGGGTTTGCCCTTATGATGCTGGAAATCTCTTCTCCAGATGTTTATAAATGTTCACTTTATATGACTGTAAATAGATCCTGATATCATAGTAAGCTTGAAATGAATTGAGTTTTCCCCCCTGCAAAGAATAGCTTCTTGTTCAAAGGAGAATTGAAGACACTTCTCAGACAATTTATTATATTTTAAATAAATGTAACTATATAGTAAAAACTGGAACATCATTGCAGTGTAAAATGTTGAATCCATTTCAGGTTCATGCTTTGAGACTTTACAGCTGTGTTTTTCAAACTTGGCAACTTTAAGATGTGTGGACTTCTTAAGTTCTCCAAATGGCTGGGGAATTCTGGGAGATGAAGTCCACACATCTTAAAGTTGTCAAGTTTGAAAAACACTGCTTTATGGTATTGGGCATACTTGATAATCTACTATGGAGTTTTCTTTAAATTACTCAGAATTCAAATCCCAGTTAAGAAAACTATTTTATTTTAATTTCTAAAAATAATATGTAAACATTAGAATTAATTAAGATGAACATGAATTAGGATTAATTGCTAAAACCAATACACTTCCTCTGTTTCAGAGGAAATTAAGTCGTACTGTGCTTTCTTCTTATTTCATTATATTCATCCACTCTTAAAAAAAAACCCTGACATAATAGAAATATGTCAGTTGTTCTAGTTTGCTTATAGCAAATATTTCCTTTACTTTTGAAGACACTTTCAGCCATGGTGCATCTTGTATCATGGAACAGACTATCTTGTCATTCTTACACTTCAGTTTTGAATACTCTGCGGACAAAATAAATTTGCAACATTAATATTGTACCATATTTTCTTGGTCTGAGCCATCTTAGGCCTTTATTGTCTTGTTTAGGATGCTGTAGATGTAGAACAGCAAATTCTCTTAGATCATTTCTTGTCCCTTATTAAAGTTTTGTTTTGTTTTAGGGTGTGGGGATGGGAGGGTTATTTTTTGCTGAATTTTGCTGAATTTTTCTTTGGAACTGAATTTCAAATGTTTATAATAAGCAGAAAAACTTCAAAGAAATCTAGAGACTTGTTTTCATGATTATGTTTTTCAGTGCACACTTTTCCTTGTGCATACAATTTTGGAGGCATTTTTAAAATAAAATATATTTTGTGAGTATGTTTCCTCTAATATACACTTTTAAACATTGTTTTAAATGACTTAATTTTAAAACTGGATTAAGCGTACACGTGGGTTCCTCTGTATTTTCTGTGGGTTCAAGATCTATACAATCATTAAAAAATTCTGATAGGCCATATTTCTCACTCTTTCCTAATGAATACCAACTGTCTTTCATAGCTAGCAGTTCCTAGTATAACAGAATAACAATGCATGTCAAGTGTAAAGACAAAATAATACATTAGGGATAAATCTACTGAGTTCAGTGGGTTCTCTAATATGCATAGAATTGTAAGCCAGTTATAATTCTTTTGATAGATATTACCTTAATAGTTATTAATTTGACAAACATTAAAGCTACTGTCTTGCTGTCCAATTCCTGTTAAAGAAAACTTTATTATTGCCTGCATTTCAAAAGACTGCCTACCACCTGTTGTATTTAAAGTTAATACTTTTGCCTGAAAATTGTATAGCTTGATCATTTTCATAGTATGAAGCAGGCTTTACAATAGCTTCTATAAGGTGTTAAAAATTTGAGTGTCCAACATCTATTCCATTATGCTGATTTTTGAAGGAATGATGTGAGAGGGGTCTATGTGACTCCATAGAAGTTACATTACATCCAAGGTTATCAAGGGAGAACAAGGAATGTGAACACTTGATGGCCACAAAGGCCATCAAGAAGGAAGAACTTTGGATTGAAGGAACAAAACAATTTCTATAACCCATGGATTAACCAACACAAATCATATTAAAATAGAACAACATAGGTATACTTTCTGAACGTCTCTTTTAGCATCCATTAGTTAAAGAAACACCCTTTCTTCTACCCGCATAGCTAGGGTAACTGCTGTTCAGTTTCACTTTCCCTTAATCTTAGCTTATTGTATTAAATAAAGCAGAAATCATGGTTTGTCAGGAATTATCTATTTACTGTAACTTCAAAGCAATCCAACTTCATGAATTATAAAATTGAGTTAATTTGCTTATTTTGTTTTAAACTGACCTTTATAAAGAATAAGGACAAATAGGGAAAGTAATAGTATGTTCTTGCTGAGTCTACCTAACCATCTAGGGAGTCCAAAGCATGCTTATGGTCCTTCCAACTCATGCATTTAGCCTAATGTAATGGTTTAGTGTTATATAATTTTGTGTGAATCTATGTTGGCAGTCATTTAATGTTTTTTAGTCAAGTGACCTATGCTGACAAGCTCTGTTATTATTTTATTCATTGAACTCATATTGACTAATTTCCACAAAACTGGAATCGGATTGTATATGTGTCTTTTGCATGTTCAAAATATTGAATGTTTGCTTATTAAATTACTTTAAGAATTTATATTAATGTTTCTTCTTTCTGGGCTACAACCAGCACATTTTGTGATTTTTGTGATTGTGATTATTGTTATAGTCATTGCATTTTCTACTCCAGTAGAAAGGAAAGAAAATGGGGTTTTCTTTTTCATGTCTTCCATTGAAATTACTGTAAAGTTCTTTATACAGTGCAGATAATGACACTCCAAATATTGGCATCCATTGTTTATCCGAGTGCACTTGATAGTATCAATCAAAAAGCTGAGGATTCTTGATCCCACAAGGAAACAAATATGTTGATAACAGTAGAAATGTGATTTTCCAAGCCTCTGTTTTTCCATAGTTTATCTGAAGGGTCTGAAACAGTTTCAAGTTGAACAATGGGAATGCTTCTGCTGCATCTTGACATACAGTAATAACCCTCTAAGATACAGTACTAATACTTGGCTGTTTTGTTCCCCATTTAGGCAGCTCTAAATTGTAGCCTACTGAGAATCTGATTGAGTACTCACTCAGCCAGTTACACTATGCACATTCCTCCCACTGCCACTAGGACCTTACAAAAGAGATAACATGCTTAAATTTTTGTCTAGGGCACTACAGAATCACCACTGCACCATATGAGATAATCTCAGACCTACTAGCTAGCTGCCAGTAATGATCTGGATTCTGAGAAATATGTCAATTTCTTCTCCTCAAGGTTGACTGAAAGGCTTTCCAATAGTTAAATGGAACCTCTAGCTTGTCTAGTGTGGGTTTCTTTTTCTTTTCTTTTCTTTTTTTTTTGATGCCTTTGAGTCTCTCTCAACTGCCTGGACTAGTCCCTGCAGTTTTCTTGGCAAGATTTTTAGAAGTGTTTTGCCTTTGCCTTCTTCCTCAGGTTGAGAGAGAGTGACTGGCCCAAAGTCACCCAGCTGGCTTTGTGCCTAAGGTGGGACTAGAACTCATAGTCTATACCAAACTGGCTCTGTTGTGTAGCTTGCCAACCTTGATATAACAGGTACAACAGAAGAATATTTTCACAGCTGGACAATTGGAAGAATTGCACAGCCATATACAGAACATGTTCTAAAACAGACACTTAGGGCACATACTACACTAAGCCATTTTTGTTTAATTATGGTTTGTTAACCAACCCACAATTATACTTGGATTCATATGTCACCGCAATCCATAAATAATTGCTTACAATGGTTGTTTTCATAGAGCAAAATTCAAATAAATCATACTGTGGTGATGGGTGAATCCAGCAGAAAGTACACTTTCACAAAATATTGAACAGATAATAGAAAGTCTGTGTTGTTGCACCCAACAAAGCAGCCATGGAAGGCAAACACTTAATAAAGAAAAGCGTTTCTTAATGCTGTAGTCTCCCCAAGGGCAGACTGAGAAACAGCTACTTAGCAAGACTTCTACAATGAACCTTATAATTACACAGAAATCTGAACAGAGCAAGGGCAGAGGATTTTTATGCTATATCCAGCATCTGCCACAAAGGAATCCATTTCCATTTCAGAATACTTCCTGGTATTTGCCATAGAACCTTAAAATGCACTTAAAGAGAGATTCCCCTACCAAGTGCTCTTGGGCACAGAGTGATAGATACCCACTAGCCCCATCTAACTTTGGGAAGATTATTTTAATATGAAGAAAGGGTAGCTAGCAAGCTATAAAGCAAAGCACCAACCCCCAACATAATCTTTATTTTCAAAAATGCATCTGGTATAACTTCACACGAATCTCACAGGTAGTTTAGTTAATATAAATGGATGATTCTTGTCATATTGTATTACTGTACAACATGACAAGAATGGAAGTATATCCACCAGCCAAGAAAAATGACAAAGCTGAATTGCAGTGGAAGAAATCTGGGATGGTAATGTTAGATGGTCTGGTACTTAGCAGGTTCTTTATCTGATAAAGGACACTTTCATGACTGTCCATGCTCATCATGGAAACCATCCACAACACACTAAGCCAAAAAAGATTGGGTTCTCTCTTATTTTGGGGTGGTTGTTGTACAATTCTTGAATAAAACAACACTATTTCCATGTTGTATGATTATACCTTCACTGGATCGGTATTAACTTTTGAATGTAGCACTACAGCAAAAAGTGATCTTAGGTTTGGACTAGAAGGAAACAATTCAGATTATCACATGGCTGATCTGCAAGAAAATGAAACGTATCAGTTTTTTTTCAACAAGGATGCAGACTGCCCAAGCGTTTATAAATTATGGAGTGATTTAAACAAGTAGCCATAGTGACTTTGACCTAGGAAAGCAAAGAACTGCAAATTCTTGTAGTTACAGATTCGACTATAAAATAAAAACTATTCTATAATCTACACAATTAAAAGCTTCTGTCTCCCTTTCTGTAGCAACCAGGTTATTGCTCTTCTGTAGCTGAAAGGAGATGAATGAGACTTTGGATTAATAGTCTTAAAATTTATGACATGGTTCTGGCCCAAATGTTATTTGAGCTAAGCTCTCTTGGTGAGATATTCCAGCTGAACAAACTTAATATTTCTGTTTTCCTTTATTTTTCTGGGTCTGCATTTTTTGGTTAGTTTTCTTCTATTTTCAGAGGTAGATGCTGGTGCCATTTGATTACTTCTTAATTGCTACCGTTATTTAAATTTTCTATAAGGATTTTATTGGTAGACCTGGCCTTACATTTAAACAGACAGAAATGTCAACAGGGAAAATAAAATGCATGAAAAAATAGTGTAAAAGAGTCAGACAGATTCACATACTGTCTACAAATCATGACTGTAATTAGCCTTGAATACCATCTTATGCCAATTTAAAGCAGGAGAAACTGGTTCATAATAGTTTTCAGCTGGGCCTGCCTAAATCTATAGTAGCGATTTAGCAGCAGCCATTTTGAACATCTTTAGATCCATACATTTCTCTCTAGTGTTGGAACTTTATAAGATAAGACAATTCTCTCCAACACCAGAGTTCAAAAGCATCAATACTCTTTTTTATTCAGCTTCTTCAAAGTCCACGTTCTGGTTCCATAGAGTGTCATAGGGAATATCATTCCGCTGTTCTGATCTTATTCTGATACATCCCCTCCTTTTCAACATCTACATGAAGATGCTGGGTGAGGTCATCCACCGGTTTTGGGTATATTATCAGTATGCTGATGATACCCAATTATATCTTTTGACTCCAGGCCAGACAAATGAGGGTCTCAATTTCTGGCCCAGTGCCTGGAAGCTGTGTGGGTTTCAATGGGGAAAAACCAACTCAATGCTACCAAGACTGAGTGGCTATGGGTTTTTGGGCCCCCCAGATCCAGTGGTATTCCATCTTTGACCTTGGATGGGAATGCATTTCCCCTTTTAAGGTGGTTGTGTAATCTGAGGGTCTTTCTGGACTTGTAGCTCCTGCTTGAAGAGCAGATGGCAGCTGTGGCCAGGAAAGCCTTTGCATAACTTCATCTGATTCACCAAATGTTCCCTTTCCTAGATTGGGGGCCCTCCTAACAGTAACTCATGCCTTAGTCACCTTGTGTCTTGACTACTGCAACACACTCTAAATGGGGCTGCCCTTGAAGATCACCCAGAAGCTTCAACTGGTCCAGAATGCAGTGGTGTGGTCAGTGATGGGCATGCCTTGGTATGCCCATGTAACCTCTGCTTTGCAAGTTGCATTGGTTGCCAGTTTGCTTCCTCTGATTAAATAACATCATCTGTCAGGTCCTCAGAAGTGTGCTTTCTCTATAGCAGTGCCAGCCTTCTGGAATGAGATTTCCCCCAAGATCTGGATGGCCCCCACTCTGATGTTGTTTAGAAGAGCCATGCAGACCTGGCTCTTTACCCAGGCCTTTGATGAGGGAGAGTTAGACCCCTTGCTTCATTCCACTGAGTCTATCATTCTTGCCATCTTTTACCTTCCCCCCCCCCCCCCCCCA